CTCCTCTCCCTGACCTGCTGTGCAGTGGGACTCATCTGAGTAACATAGAGGAGGGCTGCACTTCAGTAGGGGACAAAAAGGGTCACATCCTATACAGTACATCCAGGGCTCTGATGCTTTATCAATTTAAGAAATCATTACTTATTAATAATCAATAAATCAATTCTTATTATTATATTCTTGGAAAAACTGACAAATTAACTCTTGTTTTTTTTTTGTTTTTATTTAGATTATAGTTGGATGTTTTAAAGAAAAACTGGAAATCTTGATTTTGAATTTTTAGCAGAAAGCATTAAAATACAGACATTACTCCAGAAATAAATACTTGAATTGCTTTCTTTATTACTGTACATTTTTATGTGGGTTTACAACATTATTCCAAAGGATCCCACATTCCCAAAATGCACTGACGAATGTCCAAAGATGACCTGAACTCAAAATAACAATTTAATTTCTGTTGTTTTTTTTCTGGTGTTGTCCAGAAGTCCATCGGGGAAGAAAGCCAGTTCTAAACGGTAAGATGATTGCAGGATCCTGATCATAATTATTATAATAAAGAATTATAATAGTACAAGAAACCTATAACAGCAAGTTTGTTTGAATCAAGCTAGGTTTGTTCTTGCATAATTAAGTATTTTAAACACTAATTTCAATGCAGTCCTAATCAGTAAAGCACACATCCGATGTGGTGGATGAAGTGGGTTCCTTCCTGTATGAAAAGTGCTTTAAGGAGAATGCAAGGAATTATTATTGTAATTATCAACAAAACACAGAGATGTGGCTTTGTTAATGTAATATCTGTCTTCAATCTAATATTTTTCTTTTGTTTCGAAATTTAGTTTGGATTTTCTAAAGGAAGAGACACCGTTCAACATCTGAAGACAACTAAAATAGATTACCTTAATCAGCAGCTGAGAGGGAACAAAAGCTTAACTTTGTCTGATCGGATAGCTTGCATTGCAGCGGAGAATGGCACTTTGTTTCTGGTGACACATTACTTCTTCTTGTAAAAAAAATATTTCCACCTTTGAGTCTGGCTTCTATGCATGTTAATGTGCTAATGTACTCTATCTTGTGATTATCGTTGTTTAAAAAATAAGTCAAACCCAAGATGAATGAGGTGCTTTCCATTGAAAATCAATGGATGCAAACAGGATCTCAACTCCATTGTAATTTATTCAACTGTGAATGTTTCTACACAGAAAGTCTTTGTCAAGACAGAGCTTTGTAAATTATAATGGGAACTGAGAGTGTGTTTTCTATGTTGTTTTTTTTATTGATTATGTCTTTGTTTAAATGTTTAAATGATGGTGTTTTCTTAAATGGGCTCAAATGTGTCATTTCTGTCACATTCTTCTACCTAGATCTTGAAGGACAGTTTAAAAAAATGATTATGCACTACAGCCTATGACAATGTAATACTTTTATTTCTTTGTAATTTATGTTCAGCTATGTATATATTTTTTATCTCAAAACTAATTAAAGTTACAGAGTCTGGAGGAACAGGAATGAATGTTTTTGTGTCCTAAAAATTGTATTTTTAATTTGATAGTAAAAGTTATGCATGCTTAACATTAATACATTTTAGATGCAATTTTTGAAGAGCCCACTAGAGATCAGCATAGTAGAATAACTGATTGAGCTGAACCTGAGTTAGATTATGTCTAAATCAAGATTGAATTAGTGATCATTCTCAGGTTTATATTTATAAATAGATATAGTATAGTTGTTCTGAGGTAATTGTTGATGTACGGTATTGTCACAGTGCTTAATTCCATGATTTCACTGTTAAAGTATCACCTTTCAAAAAGAAGTATCTTACAAATATCAGGTTTCCTATAGCCCACATTTTATCAAAGCCCTCCCAAGCACAAAATCATAAAAGTGTTTAATCGGAGCACATTTCTGTATGTAAGCTGGACAGTAAGTAAAAACATAAAAGGAAATTAAGACATGAAGAAAACATGTCAAGCAACCATGACATCCCAGAAAGGACGTCTCTGTCCTCTACTTGATGATGTCATGATTTTCCTAAAATGACAGGATATGTGTGTTTCCAGTTAGAATGTCCCAGTCCTGTGAAACAGGGATCTCTGACCCTGGTCCTGGGAAGCCCCAATCCAGTTGTGCTTATTGGTCACCTGTTTGTAAGGTTTTCTTGATAACAAGCGTACAATGTTAATGAACTAAACAAGTAATGAGCTCAGTTAATAGACCATGTGTCTTTGCGTGGTGAAGTATACTCAGATCCATCTGTCCATTTTCTAACTCCTTCTTTCAATTTAGACCTGGATAATATCCTAGCAAGCAACAGGCACAAGACAGGGACCCTTGAGGGGTTACTAGTCCATCACAGGCTAAACACACACACAGAGACACACACATGCTCACACCTAGGCCCTGTTTTCCTAGAAGCCAATTAACCTATCAGGACGTTTTTGGACTGTGGGGGTAAACTGGACCACGCAGAGGAAATCCATGTGAAAACATGGGAGAACATACAAACTCCACACACACAGAGCCCCAGGTCTGGAAATGAACACAGGGCCCCAGCATTGTGAGGCAGTAATGCTAACCACTGTGCCACCACACCACCCTGGATACTTAGATTTTGATGTCATCAATCAGAAAATGATTCCATGTCTTCAAAGATTGTCTACTTCATCTATTTTACGATGACGCACAAAGCCTACTGGACTGGGTCTCTCCAGGCTAGTGGTTAGAGATCACTGCAGTATACAAAAGTGCAGAACTCCAGTCCAGGCGGATCTCCATTTCTGCTGGTTTTCATTCCCACTCTGCTCTTAATTACCTGGTAGAGGTCATCTTTAACTTAACTGGACCAGTTCAACACTCGTCAAAGGTCTTTCACAAGTCCCCTAGAAATCCTGTTGGACTCTGAATCTTGAGGACTGGAGTTTTGGAGTTTGGAGGAACAATATGCATGATTGTGGTTTGTGTAATGCCTTGGGAATGTTTCATTCATTATGGGTTTAGTCATTTAAATAAAGACCTACATCTATTTAAGGAAATTCTCAATTGGCCTTTTCTTGCACACGTTTTTTGGGGTTTGGGGAGAGTAAATATTTAGGTTATAACGGCGAGGGTAACCCTGCTCCTGGAGATTCATAGTCCATCTGGGTTTATAAGTCACTTTAAGCTGTCAGTTTGACAGTTTCAGTCTGGTAACCAAAGCAGGTGCTTTGTTCCATTTAGTTCAGAGTGAGATGATGTGAAGTGAAATGAAATGCAATGTTTACATCATGTAGATCTTCTGAACCTTTGTTGGCCATGCCTGATTTAATTAAAGTAAATGGGTCAAAATTTCAATTTTTCAAACCTTTACAAATTGATGATTCATGGGTGCTGCACTGTAGCCCTTTCAGAACGAGGGTTATGTCACTGTAGTGCACAACAACATGCTGTGAAAAGTGTACTGTTTTCACTGGTGTATTGTTAAGCAGGCTACAAGGTTCCTGTGACTGATGTACTGGAATGAAATGAAACTTCTAGAAATAGAATAGGAAAAATACACAGTTTTTAGAAATGCAATGTTTTATTGTAGTGAACTTATCTGAATTGTATCATTTATCTTTGTCTGTTATTATTTCTTACTGTGGTAAATCTAGAGTATAATTATACATGTATAATTACTAAAGGAAAAAGGACTACATAGCATGGTATTTTAGGGACTGTAATGTTGACCTTGAAAAACAAGTGACTATATATAGTTTTTAGTAACTACCACTGAATGCCTATTGTATTTAATAAAAAGTCATTCATATACCGGACATACCTGAAAATTCAGCATTTGTTAAAAGTTTTGGACCAACTTTATATATTCCTTAATGTCCACTAAGCTCAGTGTTTGTGCTTTTAGTTTAAAATTTGACTCAGATATGGAAAACACAATAGAGTATGTGCAAAACAATATCAGTTGCTAGTTTGCCAACTTGTCAGTGTGCAATGTAGTTAGATGAAAAACAAGATTGTTCAAAACTACAGAGCATATTTATGGATAGTAGTTCAGGTGGGTAGCTGCGTCAGCATGCGTAGGCTGCAAAGGAACAAGTAATAGGTTTATTCCATGCTGAAAAAAAAGAAGAAAGAGAACACAACGTTTCGGCCATGGAGCCTTCTTCAGGTGTGTCATCCTGCAACTTACAACTGGCAGGCCACTGAAGGTAAGAAGGCATGATCCTGGCCAGTACCTGGATGGGAGGCTTCCTGAGAAAGCTAAGGTTTCTGCTGGAAGACATGTTAGTGGGACCAGTAGGGGGCACTCACCTTGTGGTCTATATGTCCTAATGCCCCAGTTTAGCGATGGGGACACTATACTGTAAAAAAGCACTGTCCTTAAGATGAGATGTTATACCAAGGTCTTGACCCTCTGTGATCATTAAAACTCATAGGGCATTTCTCAAAAAGAGTAGGGGTGTTACCCCGGTGTCTTGGTCCATTGGCCTTTACCAATCATAGCCTCCTAATAATCCCCATATATGAATTGGCTTCATTACTCTGCTCTCCTCCCCACTGATAGCTGATGTGTGGTGAGTGTTCTGGCGCACTATGGCTGCCTTCCAGGTGGGGCTGCACACTGGTGGTGGTGGAGGGGAGTCCCCATTACCTCTAAATGCTTTGAGTGTCCAGAAAAGCCTTATATAAGTGTAAGGTATTATTATTATTATTATTGTTATTATTATTATTATTATTATTATTATTTTAACTATTAATATTTATATTATCATAATTCAAAATTATTATTGTACTGTAATACAAGGGTGTTGTTTAAATATAAAGGTACTGTACCACTTTTATCATTAAAATACATGAGCAAAATTGAAAGAAAACACATTTAATATATCTTGTTCAATGCTATTAATCAAATTAAAGAAGCTTGGTTTTTAAGTATATGTGCAGACTTCATTTTGTGTTTTCGGGGAGGCGGGGAGGCGGTAGATGTTTACTTTTCGCTTCAGCCCAACAAACTAGGGGCGGGACACTTTAAACACTGGTTTGTTATAGGAGCCCAGAAACATGGTTTTGGTCGGTTTTCATAGTAATTCGTGTCTGAAGCTAGTACAAAACTTTTACGCAGGTAAGTCACGACAATTTCATCTAATTGTTATCGGTTTTAAAAGTAGCTATGATAATATTCTATGCGTTTGAAAACAAATCGCTTTTTCTGGTTTGCTATCAGAGTGCATTGCAGAGATAAGAGAAATAAGGACAGAAGCAAAATATGTCAGAAATAAAACTGCAAATAAAGCAAATTTGCTTTTTAAAGCCTCGAACTCAGTAGTATTTTGTAAAACAATTTTGGTCAATAACACGGTGCTGCGGATGTTAGAAAACTAGTGTTCGTGCGGATTATGTTTATGTCCATTAAACGGATTATGCTTTATCGATTTAAATTCGAAAAAAGTAATTTTCAGATTAATTTCTCAGAATAATACTATATAATAAATCCAGTTCGATTAACTTTCAGTAAGTCTGTCTAAATAACTTTTTACTGAAAATGAAAATCAGATAATTTGAAAACATTATATAATAAACGTAATTTATATTTCATAGGACATTTTCCACCCCCGTTTTAATAATAGATTTGATTAAGTAGTAAATGTTATTTTCTTGTTGTAGGTTTCTTTTTATTATGATCCCGATAATGATTAATGACTCGTGGTTACACTGAACATTTCAGTATTATCTTGTAAAATCATTAATGCATTTCATTTGTGTTGTGTGCTACTGTCGATGCAACAGTTTCCAATACTGTTTTCCAATACGCCGTAGGCGTCAATATTGTCTATTGAAGAGGCATCTGCGCACATTCCTAAACGTTCACAAAATCGAGAAGATCTGCGAAAACCGAACCTGTAAACTTGTGTCCTGCGAACTCTAAACTGTGCGACATCAAGATAAATGATATTGCTAGTTTTTCCTAGAATAGACTCTTGCTCAAAGTGCATGATCTTCTGCGGACCCTGCCAAGACTCACGTAAATGCCTGCTTCATGAATGAGAATGAGCTCGACTTGAGTTTTGTTATATTCAGTCTACACGCCTAAACACAGCGCAGTTTCGAGTATCTGGGTTTTAAAGCTGCAGAAACAGTTTTGTATAATTCAAGCAAGATGTCTCTGGAAAGGAGTAACGTAGGCTAGGTTTCCCCCTCATGTATTTAAAAGTCTAATATTGCGATGGATGTTGCGAAACCTTTGTTATATTTTTGAATAGAAAATTGATCCTCTGGTCAAATGTGTTGTCTGCTACAATCTGCTCCTCCTCAGCAGCTTTTACTACATTTGTCCATGTAATTCCAAAGAAGAAATTTCAACATTTCTGCTGTTGAATCTTATTCAGGTGTGAGGGAGAGAGGGTTAGGTACAGTAGCTGGAATTAAAAGGGACATCTGTGGCCACAGATTTTGGCCATTTACTCCACTCTTCCTGTGTGCCCATTCTCACCTGCTCCGTCTTCTGTTCTCCTGTGTTTCATATTCCTGCCACTTTCCTCTCTCATGCACTCACACCTGAAGAAAGCTCCACAGCTGAAACTGCTTGTCTTTCTCTTTTTCAGTTTG